TAAAACTTAAAACACTAGGCCAGAAGACCCAGGAACGTGACATCCATGACATCTTTTACATTATGTCCTGCTGACGAAGTATAAAGTAGTAGCAGCTGGTGTCTGTTTGAGGCTTAAATGGACGGAGGAGGACCATGACAGAATCAGCGAATCAGTGAAGAGAAAAAACCCCCCGATGGCCTGCTTTATCTGGAAGCTGATACACCAATATCTTGATGCTGGATTGCTCTTCCTCTCCTCTCTTTCAGTGTCACTTTACTTCTTGTCTGTTACATTCGCGTCTCCCACCCTCAACACTTTTCTTCTGTCATCTTATTGTCTTAGCTGAACTCATAACCTCTTTTTTTAATTTGTCTTCATGGATGCTCAAATCATCCAGGTAAGTAAAATCAAAAAGGTTGATTCTGTTCATCTGGACGTAGCGTTTTCAGTGCGAGAAACATTTCGTCATAATCCAAGTGACTTCTTCAGTCTCAGCTGACTGCAGGTTTCCCCAACCTTAGAGTACATTTGCACATCAGTGGAAACTAGCCCACTGACTGAATAATGGGCTGTGAGGTCAGTTCCTTGATCATTAATATGCAAATTCTCATGACCATTGATCAACAACCACTGATCAAAGGCCATTGATCAAAGTATTTTTTAATTCCCCCCTTTAATTTCTATTAAAAAATATTGTTGGCTTTTTGTTTACTTTAGATTTTTATATTTAGAGGATTGGGGGGGGGGGGGGTGCGGTAGGTGCAGGGAAGTAAAAAGATATCAATGGAAAAGCATAATACAGTGCTGTGCAGTGAAATAAAGTGATGTTAAGGGCTCACTAATATAGCAAGCGGCAACCTCTGATGCTGAAAATTTGAGTGGCGAATACAGCAGTTCCTCTAACAGCCACTTGACGCTGGTTCCAAAAGGGAGTTGGTCTCCACAGACCCCCATGTTGAAATGTACAGCAGAAATAAACACATTGATTGGTTGCCAAAAAAAAAAACTTCGTTTCTATGGATTGTTTATCCCTTCTTAAAATCTTTTTTTTTTTAAAGAAGTTTGATGCTGGTGAAGCTTAAAGTTCAGTTTGGGGCTGCTGATAGATTCAAAGTGCCTTACCCTACAGGTAATATCACTTCATTAGTCTGTATAAAATATGTCATTTCTTCTTTACTAATGTGATGTGTCTGTTGGCACGTTGTAATCATTATTTTTTTGTCAGCAAAAATAAAAAAACCAAAAAACTGGCAGTGGGTAGTTTAGGTGTGGAACATGAATACACCATTTATAGTATACTTCTAATATTTAGTTTTTCTGTATCTTTTAAATAGGAAATTAAATATTTAAAATTATTAATTAAATAATAATAATAATGGATTGGATTTATATAGCGCTTTTCAAGGCACCCAAAGCGCTTTACAATACCACTATTCATTCACTCTCACATTCATACACTGGTGGAGGCAGCTACAGTTGTAGCCACAGCTGCCCTGGGGCAGTCTGACAGAAGCGAGGCTGCCATATCGCGCCATCGGCCCCTCTGGCCAACACCAGTATTAAAGTATTTCAGTGGAATTGTACTTGGTCTTTTTTCCCCCAATCAGATGGATGACCTCCTTTTTAACACTGCCTGGATCTCTCTGTGTCTCCCTCTCTGCTTTATGTCCTATCAGGCTTCAATAGCAGTATAAAGGTCACTGCTGAAATGCCAGCAGCCATGTCAGCCAGTCTTTCTCTCTGTGTGATGGCTTTGTGGAGCCTCATCTAATCTTTCTTTGTTTCGGTGGAAAATAATTGACATGGAGGAATCCCTAATCTTTGTTTCTTTACTTCTGTCTAGAGGAGGTGATCTTAAACCAGTCTTTACACTATGTCTGTAATCCTATAAGGCTGCGCTGAAATGTGGATAAAGAGATAGCATGATCTGCTATTAACTGCATGATTCAGTTAAAAAAAAATTCCTTATTTAGCTTAAACTGGGCCTTACATAAACACATTATCTGAACCTACCACGTTTAATGTGATCATGCACCACCTATCTATCGGAAAGAAAATACTAAATTAACAGGCCTGCTTTAACAACCTCAAAGTTATTCAGTGATTCGACTATTACGCACACATTACTGACTATATTTCAGCATTGGGTGTTTGATCATTTCCTGTTTTCTCTGACTTTGACAGTATCGCACGTGCCTCGCTTTGAGTTTTGCTTCCTTTCTAGACCTGTTTTTCTTTTTTGTCATTGTCAAGTTGCCTTTGTGCATATCTGTGTTTTTATTTATTCACCAGCTTGATTGTGACTTCCTTTTTCTTGGAACATAAAACTTGCCTTTTGTTAGTCAACACATTGCTTCATCTTTTTTGTGACACAGTCACAGCTTTTTCTTTAGTGAACTGTAAATACCTTTTAAATCAGTTAAAAAAAACCTCACAATCTTGATTTACAGAGCTTATATGAATGTGTTCTTACTGAAAAACAACACCTCAGTAGAATATTTTTTATCACCGCAGTGTAATATAAAGATTTGTATCAGTTCTGTTGATTGTTTTCTTGAACCATCAGATGTTGCGTTGCTATGGGAGGGTTTCCTGTGTTTCTTTCATCAAAGAAGTTTATCTTCTGCAAAAAAGAAGCAACAAAGGAAGCTCTGGAGCACCTTTCTTTGCTAATTATTACACTCTGCCTGCATTAAAAACCCACGTTTGTTCAACACAGCGGTTTGGATGACTTCTGCATCATGGAGGAATGGAAACATTTGTGCTGACTTAATCTCAATTCCGTCAACAGCAATGACAAGACCCTCTGACAGTAATATAAACAGCTAGCACCGACCAGCTCCTACTCTGGCTACCATGCAGATTATTCTGACTCACTTCACTCAGCTCGAAACCTTAAAAAAAAATATTTCAGTTGCACCCCAGCTTTTTTGTTCTGAACATTCTTGAGACCATTTTCCTCTGAAAATGTGTTAAATTAAAATAACAATACCTACATTAAGATCAAATTTTGTGCAGATACATACCAGTACAAGTGACCAAGCTCATACAGTCATCCTCAATAAAAAGGTTTCACAATCACACTCATACTTATTAATCTTTGTCTCTCTTCCACAATAGGTCTTCTATCCTGTCTTCCTTCTCTCACATCAACTGGTAATATAGTTCTTGTATAGAACGTGTAATACAGTGGAGTATAGTACTTCTGTAGTCTTTGCACTATTTTTTTTTTATCTGTGCGCACATTCTTTGTTCTTTATGTGCATATTAAATGTTTGCATTTGCACTATTTTTTTTATGCCTTGCACATCCGGAGATGCCAAAGTAATTTAGTTGTTTTGGTTGATTTTTGATTGTCATACCTTCTTTTGGGTTCTGGAAAGCACTTTGTAGCTTAAGGATAACTATTATTATTATTATTATTATCAGTAGTAGTAGTAGTAGTAGTGTAACATCCTAACATATTACAGTTTGAATAGTACTCACTATAGTGCTCTGAAACAGAATTTCAAAATATGCAAAATGTAAAATGTTTTGTGTAAAGGCTTCCTCAATCTCAGCTGACTGCAGGTTTCTCCAACCTTATAAACAGTATATTTGCACAATGCCTGAAACTAGCCCACTGAATTATTACATTTATTACATTTAAAAGCTGATGTGTACCATAAACCTACACATACGGATCAGTATTTAAGGTTTGACTCTAATCATCCACTGGAGCATAAACTGAGTGTCATCAGGACGCTACAACACAGAGCGAACACCATCCCCACTGACAGAGAGACAGCGGCCAGGGAAGCAGAAGAACAGCACATCAAGAAGGCCCTGAGTAAATGTGGTTATCCCAGCTGGACTTTTGTCAAAGCTGGGAAGGTGCCTAAAGAAAGCTCCAACCAATCCAGGAGAGAAGGACAACCGCGGCCTAAGTGAAAACCTGTAGTGATCCCATATGTGTCAGGAGTATCAGAACAGCTGAGACACACTTTTTCTAAAACTGCAGCTGTGTGTTTTTATGCGTCTCTGTAGCTTTTAAACCCCAAAACACGCTGCGCCAAAAATTGGTCCACCCCAAGGATCGGGTCCCCGACACAAACAGAGTAACATAGTGTACGCTGTGAAGTGCCAGGAGGATTGCCAGGAATTATATATCAAGGAAACCAAACAACCTCTGGCAAAGCGGATGACACAACACAGAAAAGCCACCTCGTCAGGCCAGGACTCTGCAGTCTATTCACACCATCAGGCCTGTGGACACTCTTTCAATGATGAGGATGTACACATCCTGGACAGGGAGGAACGCTGGTTTAAGCGCGGAGTCAAGGAGGCCATTTACATGAAAAGGGAAAGACCATCTCTGAATCGAGGAGGGGGCCTAAGGGTACATCTGTCACCATCTTATAATGCTGTGATTGCAGCCATCCCTCAACTCTCTGTGAACGGTACTCATGGCCTTTGATCAGTGGTCTTTGATCAATGGTCATGACAACTTGCATATTTATGATCAAGGAACTGACCTCACAGCCCATTGTTCCTTCAGTGGGCTGGTTTTAGATATTGTGGAAATGTACTGTTTATAAGATTGGGGAAACCTGCAGTCAGCTGAGACTGAAGAAGTCACTTGGATTATCACGAAACGTTTCTCCCACTGAAAACGTCCAGATGAAGAGAATGAGCCTTTTGGGATTCATGTCATAAGGTTTCTAAAGTAGCCATGCATCATGCGGTCCTGCATATGACCATGTGTCAGAAAAGGAAATTAAAACTCCCAGTGATGCATTTAGAAACTTAGGACACATTGAGTGGACAGCGAGTTCAAGTGACCCTTTGCACTGCAGCAGAGGAGAGAAGCAACACCCTCGCAGAAACTCATGAGTCACATATTCTGTTATTTAACAAATACTGAAAGTCTACGCAGCAGCAGACTAACACTCAGTCTAAACTGACGGCTGCTTTGTCACGAGCTGAAAACAGTGAAATGTTGTCACGTGTCTGCAGATCTGCGTCTATAGACAGAGCGACACATGACGCCTCAGCTGCCTCCTCTCTCCTGCTCGCTCTCTCTCCGCATCTCTGCCTCCATCAGGACACGGAGCTCCGCCTCGGATGCTGCTGGAACTGTTTATCTGATTACCAGATACACGAGCTGCGCTTCCTTAAAGCGACACCCTGGCCTTAATTAATTACACTGCCAGAGAGAAAGAGAAAGAAGGAGAAGAGGAGAGAGAGACGCCGAGGATGCAGTGCCCACCTCCTCCCTGCAGGATGCCGCGAGCCGCCGCTTCATCTCCTGCCTCGAGGTTATGAACTGTAATCTGACCCTGCACGCCAGCAGGAAGACCCCCTCCTCTTCCTCCTCCTCCCCCCTCCTCTCCATCCTGGGATACATCCACGATCAGTGTGTCACGCGGGTTTTTCTTCCGCTTTCTCTCTGCATCACGCTCAGCTGATGAAACTGGCAGCAAACGCGCGTCCCTACAGCCTGCACGGCATCTATGGAAGGCGTTTTTAGGTCCGCGTGTGAGCGTCCTCTCTGCTGTGCTGGCGGCCTTCCTGTGTTTCTGCACTCCTGTTTCGCCGCTGGTACTTTTCCGCTCGCACGCAGCAGATGAAACCCCGACTCCCTGCCTCTGCGCTTCCTCCCCGCGTGGGCTCTGAGACCTGCGTCAAGCGCGCCTCGTCCTCTCCGCGCCCCCGCCGTCGCCGTGCCGCTGATGCGGTGCGCCTGGGTGCTCGCTTTCTCCTCGTCCTGGCCGGTTCCTGATCCTCTGGGCCGGAGGGCCAGCCTCCTCCATCGGGGCAGGATGGTACGGTTTGTGAGCGCGCTGGGGCTCGTCATATTCAGCGTGGCGCTGCTCATCCTGTCTCTCATCAGCTATGTCTCCATCAAGAAGGACTTCCTGTTCAGCACCCCGAGATATGGACACAACGGCGGACCCAGGATGTACATGTTCCACGCGGGGTTTCGGTGAGTCCAGGCCAGGCTGTGGACCTGCAGGTTGTTTGGATCGCAGCAGCTGAGTGTTTGCTTTTTATTTTTGCATCAGTAGGAAACCGTTTTTTGGCGTTGGTCACACTCAGGCGAAGGCCTCTCTGCTGGGTGAGGCCTGCCTGCTTTTTCATTTTTACTCAAGCTCATTTCCATAATTTACACTCAAGAATGTCCAGAAGTATGTGGACACCACATTCCCGTAAATAGCCTACATTGTAAATGTAAACAATGTCCACGAATTTAAAGTTGAATTAATACACTTAAACATCTTTGAACCTTAACCTTCTCACTCATTTTTGTGTCCACACACTTGAGCTTTAAATGTTTCATTTCATTTTTTTCTGAGTAATGAATAACTGCAGTTTTTATGACTTCCTCTTTGGGTTCAGTAATTTAGTAAATCTGTGCAGTGGGTCTTAGTCAGAGGGGAAGCATTTAAAACAGTGTAACCAAGGAGGAAGTGCTAAAATCTGCTGTTCCTCCTACTTAAGTAACTGCTGACTTTGGAGTCAGTCTGCTTAAGGAAAGACTCCAGTCTTTTCGGTTTTGCTAAAGTAATAACTCCAGTAAGGACATTGTTAAAGACACGAGAAACAAAACTCTTATAATGACTCAGCAGTCTCAGAGAGTGTCCATGTTGTTGTTCAAAACTGTAGCTGTGTGTATTAATGTAAGGAATTCAAATTAAAGAAGATACTCTAACTCACCCGGGTGACCTTTACTTAGTTTTTGAAACATGTTGTACTTCTTAAGTCTAGCTTGTCTTGCACTTTTTTCTGGTTTAGACTTGAGATCCTGATTTACAGTGACGGAAAACCACAGTGTTAAAGCATACAGTTATACAACCCCAATTCCTCAAAAGTTGTGAATCTGTGTAAAGTGTAAATAAAAAAATAATAACATGATTTACAAATCTCATAAACACAAATCTAATCTAATGTTTAAACTGATCCAAGACTGGATAAGAAACATATTAGCTCATTTTGAATTTGATGGAAGGAACATGTCTCATGGTCATGCTTAACTCTGTAGCATCCCCACTACTTTTAACATTGGTCTGTAACTGTCTGGGAACTGACATTCCATATGTCAGTTCCCAGACAGTTACAGACCAATGTTAAAACATCCATCCATCCATCCATCCATCCATCCATCCATCCATCCGTCCATCCGTCCATCCGTCCATCCATCAGGTGACAGTATTCCAGACATATTTTTCTCCAGCCACAGTTTCTCCTGTGGATCCTGGGGTGCTCCCCGGCCAGACGCAAAATATAATCTCTCCAGAAGGTTTTAGGACTACCCTGGGTTTTCACCCCAGTGCCCAGGAGGCATCCTATTGAGATGCCATACCCACCTTAGCCAGTACCTTCTGACATGGAGCAGCCGCTGTACTTAAGATTCTTCTGGAAGTCTGAACCTCTTACCTTTCCGTCACCTGACTATAATATCCCAAGATACTTGAACTTCCTTGCAACTCCCTTGCTTGAGGCAACTTCTCAGTTTTGGGTTTTATAAACTGCTCTCACCTTTTCTGTTTTGTCTCTTATGTGATAAGATTAATGCCACTTATGTCTGACAGTCAGCACAGGAAACAGCTGACATATCTCCCTAAAGTTGAAAAAAACAAACAAAAACAAAACCCACATGAGATCCATAACGAATATATTTATATAACTGAAAAGAGAACATCTATCTCTATGTGAAAGAACAGGAGCATGACTTCCTCTCTCTTCTGTTAAATTTCCAGGAAGTCAAGGCTACAGTTTCTAGCACCTGTTTAACAAAAATAGCAGCATGCTCTTCCTCCAAAATCTAAAATTATTTTCACTACAGATGTTGCTACAGATTAAATTTATAGCCTCCCGTTTCCCCGTCTTCATTCTAAGGTCAACTAAACTAAGAAAAGTCGAAACGGGGTCCACAGGCCCACACAGCGTGGTACATCCTGTTTACTGCTAATGCTACGCCTGTACTTGCAAGTGCAGGTGGGACTTCTGTATCACCCCCTGATTAGGTGAAAACAGATGATGGTGGCAATTTGATCAAAACACTGCAGAGTTGGTTCAGCTTAACATTTTCTATCAAAGTGTCCGTTTGTTATTGATCAATTTGCAGTTAATACACCGTAGAATGACACTGACTGCTTCCTAACTCATCACTGGTGGAAGGCGTTTTTTCCCCCACTGAATAAGGAGACAGCTTTGTCCTAATAAACCGATCTAAATGTGGTACACGTCAGTGTGTTTTCCAGTCAGTGTGAGTGTGTGTCAGCCTGAAGAAAAACAGGGCATCTGTCACTTAATCCCACAGCTGTGAACTAGATCAGCACTTCTCACTCTCATTTAATTTTATAAGTTTTATTCTAATGAAGGAAGACGTACGTTTTGCTCTTATAAAAAAAACCCATTTGCATTCATCAGCCGCTTTATTACACCCAACAAACTACATGTTAATGCAAATATCTAAATCAGCCAGCTACATGTCAGCAATCCAGTGCATTTAGGCATGTAGACATAATCAAGATGACCTGCTGAAATCCAAACCAAGCATCAGAATGGTGAAGAAAGGTCATAAAGTGAATTTGAATGTGGCATGGTTTTTGTGTTGTCAGACAGGCTGGTCTGAGTATTTTAGAAAGTTCTGATCTGCTGGGATTTAACTGCACAACCATCTCTAGGGTCTGCAGAGAATGGTTTGAAAAAGAGAAAATATCCAGAGAGTGGCAGTTCTCTGGGTGAAAATACCTTGTTAATGCCAGCAGCAGAAGACAGGGTGTCACTCCTCTCAAATAATAAGAAGAATCTGAGGCTACAATTTGCACAGAATGTTAGAAAAACATTGACTTGTCTGATTAGTCTGGATTCTGTTGTGGTGTCTGGATGAAACGGTCAGAATTTAGTGTAAACAACGTGAAAATATGGATCCGACCTGTCTCTGATCAATGGTTCAGACTGATGGTGGTGATAGTAGTGGTGGAATAGTGTTGTGGATATTTTCTTGCCACACTTAGAGCCCCTCAGTATGTACTGATCATTATGTAAACGCCACAGGCCACCTGAGTATTGTTGTTTATCATGACCATCCCTTTATAAGTACAATGTACCATCTTCTGATGGCTGCTTCCAGCAGGATAACGCAAAATGTCACAAAGCTCATTTGTGCCGCAAAGAATTAAAGCAGTTCGGAAGGTAAAGGGGTGTCCAAACTACAATATCAAGGTGTACCTAATAAGGAGTGTATATTCCCAGTGTTTACGCAGGACTTCTGGCTAATATATGAACCAAAGACATCAGCGGGTTCATCATAAGTGGTTTATTTAGTCATCAGTCATTTAGACACACTCAGATTACAAAGTTCTCTCAGATTTGACCTCATCTGTCTCCAAATTCCAGGTTTTATACTAATTCTACACCAGTAATGTGTTCATTGTATAAAAGTGGCAAAATTGATGTAAATCCTCATACAAGCCAGTATTACAGCTACTGTCAGGTTTGTCTTTAAAACATTATTCCTCATAAAGACTGATTATAAACATTAAGGATTAGCTTGAGTTACATTTACTGCAGGAACTTACAGTCTAAATACAATGTAAAGTGCATTTCCACAACATTAATTCCATCAGTACAACAACATGTCATCAGTCATGTCACACTCGCTGCTCTGTAGCTTCCAAATTATCTCTCCTCCTCAGTGTTAGGCTGATCTTCCTACAGATGTTTCACATTCAGTAAGGGGGGTGGGGAGTATTTTGTGAGCCGCTGGAAAGGTTTTAAAGTGAAACATCTGTGCAGAAAGTAAAACATCCTAATAAATAAGCTGTCTCCCTACGGTGGCCCCTAGAGACAAAGCATGTACAAACTCCAAAACACTTACAAATTCCAAATAGCACACACAAACTCCAAAACACATGCAAAATCCAAAACATGTGCAAACTTCAAATCCAGGACGCTAGGGGCAGTGTTGAACTCGATTTGCAAAATAAACGGCAAGTTTGTTGCAAACACATAGGCTCTAGTCTCCCTCGCGCTTCCCAGGTTGCCTAGCAACCATGATACTAACAGCTGGAAACGTGTCATACAACTTTGTTTGACAGAAATGAAGGAGAACATTTTTTTCATTTGTTTGTTTGTTTCTACAAGAGCTTTGTGTGATTTGATAAGTATCTGAGGCTGAGACCACAGGACAGTAAAACATGATTTTTGGGCTTCATTTCTGTACTGAACAGTCATTTAAGATTAGATAGTAAATAACAATTAGCTAATGTTGTTCATGAGACTAAAGTCATATCACTTTTGTAATGTAAATATAATATGGCCAATATTATAGTTATTATATTAATCATTATTAGCTATTACAGCAGTGAACATGAACTCTGTGTCAAATACTGAGCCTCAGTACAGATTCAAGTTGCAGTTATTTACATGTCTTATCACCTTAAATCTTCACTCAAAGACAAGTATATAGGAATGACTGCCAAATTTATTTGCCACTGAAGCAGAAGGATGGCATCTGAATAAAACCTCTCTTGACATGCCTAGATGACATTAAAGCTTGGTTGGCTCTAAACTTTTTAAATTTGAATGAAAACAAAACAGATTTGTTGGTGTTTGGACCCAGTGGCCCCTGTGAGTCCTCTTCTATTGATTTGGAACCCCTGGAAGTTTATTTTAAACCTGTTGTTACTGCCCTTGGTTTTAAGTTGAACCAGTCCATTTTTATCATTTAAGGCGACTGGCAAGAGTGAAATCTTTTCTTCCTAGGCAGCACTTTGAAACCGTGATCCATGCTTTTATTTCTTCCCCTGTGGACTACTGTAACGCACTTTATGTGGGGGTCAGTCAGTTGTTACTCTGACATCTGCAGCTGGTTCAAAATGTATATTGACAGTGCATATATAGGTGTATCATATATAAGAGACAAATGTTGTTCCTTCAGTATGTTGGCATTACTAAATTTGGCTCAATGCTTACATACATGTGTAAAAAGAAAATGTAAAAGCTGTGATAACTGTTTCTGATAGAATGAAGAGTAGACTGATATATGAAATATTCCTTTATTGGGTGAGAAAATCAGACCATGTCATAACTGCTTTAAGTCATACAGAATAGATATCAGAGCCTTAAACAGGCTGAATTCTGCTAAATGGGTCAAACTGGGCAGAAAGTCTACAAACACATAACATCCTTATAGAATATGATGTAACACTATAGATCAACTTACCTCAGAATATATAAAGCATATAAACAATTACAGCAATATGATGCAACAAACACAGCAGTGCTACTGATCCAAAATACTCAAAGCTTCATAGAACTGAAACAAACATTTATTTTTAGGTCCATTCTGCTGCTGATACAGACTTTAGGTTTCTGAACATTAAACTTGTTGCTGCCTTTCATAGTGTGTAACCTGAAGGCCCTGAGTACTTTCTCCCACACTGAAAGCACTGGAATGATAAAATTATTTGAACATTACCTAATAAGAATGATTCAGGACAGACAATTAGTTATGTTAAACTTTCCTAGCAGTCCTTCACAAACAGGGAACAGTCTGTCTATTCTCTCCAACTGTCAGCTGCTGCTGGCTCTTCCTCCTCCTCTTCCTCACACACTGTTGAGTGTGTCCTGATGGATCATCAGGGGTGCAAAGCCTCACAGATGATGTGCAGCAGTGGGTCCCTCAGTCTGTCCTCACTCTGGACACTTGCAGGTGTCACACATAGAAATCAAATGTGTGATAAGCTGCAGGATTCAAACACAAGTGTGACTTATAAACACATGTTCATACTTTTATTCCACAATCAGAGAGAAAGAAACAGAGAGAGAGTGCAGGACAGACAGACAGGTGACAGTCTCAGGTGTACACACTGCTACAAAACAGCACAAAAGAAGGAGGTTTTAGTGTTTGTGTTATTACGAGTGCTAAACAAGAACAGTGCCCAGATGGTACAGTGGACACATGTGTGACTCCTGTGATTAAAGCATCTTTCTTTCAGTTTAACGAGTGAACCGTCAGCTGACTGACATGACTGACTTTAATTACGCATAAAATCATCAGATTCTCTGTAAGATTAAAGTCAGCTATTGAACGGCGTATATTTTGAAGTAAAGGCTTTAAAACCAAGTTAGTACAAACATCGCTAATGTCACATAACTTTCCCGACATGTTGCCAACAGTAATGTTTTAATGTTCATCATTATAAAAACATTTGCGCTTAAATAAGTGACATAATATTCAGTACTTACTTCTGAAAGTTTACTCTTTGTCCGCTCCGCTTCCGCCGTTTTTTTTCCGGCAAAATTATCCACACCACCGCCGCGCTATGAAGTCTGGGATATGTTGGGCCATGAAGGCTACACCGACCCATCCTTAAAATTCAGGGGAATTAAGGACACATTTGAGGGCCGCATTTCGAGCAGCCTTTGAATTGGGACAGCCTTCATCGTGTTGCTGTGACGTAATCGGCCTTAAAATGCGGGCTTTAAGGCTGCAGACCCCAAATCCAGTCATTGGTACTTCCTGGCTTGTGTAGTTACTAGGTAGCAAAAGCTCAACACTGCTCCTAGCGTCCTGGAGCACTTCCGTTGTGTTTTGGGGTTTGCATGTGTTTTGGAGTTTGCGCGTGTTTCGGGGGTTTGCACGTGTTTTGGAGTTTGTAAGTGTTTTGTATTTTGTATGTGTTTTGGATTTTGCATGTGTTTTGGAGTTTGCATGTGTTTTGGAGTTTGTAAGTGTTTTGGAGTTTGTAAGTGTTTTGGAGTTTGTACATGCTTTGTCTCTAGGGGCCACCGTAGGGTCTCCTGTATACAGTGCTTAACACATTCATTAAACCACCAACAAATGTAAAGTTTATACCACAGCTGCCCTAAATTGTCAGTAGTGGTAATTACCAAAAATCATTTTTATATTTCTGATACCATCAATACACCTGTGTGCACAAGCTGTTAATCAAAATTATATTTTTAATTCTAAAATATTATTATTGCTATCCCTGAAATTTCAAATGTACACCTAAAAATAGTAAAGCACATTATTATTATTTTATCAAGATTACAGTTTTACTTGATTACTTACTTCCTGAAAAGAAAAAAATGTTTTAGTGGTTGAATGTTATTTGTGATTAATTTGGAATTTTTCAGAGAGATCGGCCATAAAAAAAAAAATTCAAATAATTTTTTTTAGTTTTAAACAAGTTTTTGAAATATCACACACACACACACACACACACACACACACACACACACACACACACACACACACACACACACACACACGCTTTGTCCAAATATTTATAGTGTTCTGTTTGAAAACTGCATTTGAAAGCACAATTTCCTTTTAGCATTAGTTGTGATGCAAAAGTACAGAAACTTTGCTCATAAAAAAGTGAAGTGAAAAAACCTGAGATTAACTTGGGGGATGTCCCCTTCCAGGTCATCTCTTTGTGCAGCTTTGCACAGCTTCCTGCATAGCTCCTTTCCATTTTTCACCATTCACTCGTCTTAGATTTGATGATTAGAGCTAAAACTCTACCTCCGACCCCATGAACACAAAGTGGTCCACACAGCCCAGACCTTGGAGGTGGCCAGGTGTGCTCAGTTTTCTAAACTGGATTCCCAGCAACTTTAGCGACTTATGTTTCATGTTTTGATTGGTTCCTTAAACTTTCCTTTCAGCCTGTTGTGTGGCAGGTCTCATCTGTAGACACTGGAGATGTGGTGTGGTTTGCTTCCAGTCAGTCACACTGGCACCACCTGGGCCCAGTCTAACAGTGCTATAAGCCCTCAGTGTGGTTCTCCTCCCTCAGCCACCTTTTGGATGTTGTTTGGTCTTTTATTTGATTTTCTACACTACACCATACACCATTTCTTTACTCAAGCAATCATTTATACCACTGATTGCATTGATTACACACACCAGTTCAAGTTCTTTCCTTGTTTCCTAAATTTGAAATAGTTTAATTGGCATTTGTGTGCATCCCCCTTGTGAGATTTCACACCAATGCTGGAGAACTAGAGCCCATACAAGTAGCAAACAAAAACCTGGATGATATCGAGGACTACCACAACAGTGGCCTGGCCAGCAGTTGGTGTGGACCGGGGATGGCTGGTCAGCAGCTACTGATTGACAGACCTGATGGATAAAAATATAACTAAGAAAGAATGATAAAAAAGTCACCAAATATACAAGTGTGTGTGAAACAATGAACCACAGTCTAATGCACTTAAAAAGGTGTTGACATTTTTCTGTCCAGTCACGCAGCAGACAGTCATTTATCTTAGAATATGAACAGAAAACATCAGGAGCTGCTTTTCACAAAGACTGATGGCAGAAATCACCTGTGCTAAAAAAAAAAAAAAGGAAGAAGAAGCAGGTTTTAGTAGGGACAGTGCAGCTGAGCTCCACAGAAATCTGTAAATCTTTGCTGTCCGACATGTTGGGTCATGTGCGATGTTCAAACAGCGCAGGTCTGATGAGGGCTCTGTAGGCCGGCCGGCCGTCCTTGGCTGATTTGATTTACAACACGAGTGCCGCATTCATTTTCCTCCCGCCTGTAATAATTTTCCCCCTCGCTTGCTACCATCGCAGGCCAAGGTTACGCTCAGAGTGAGTTAGATGTGGAGCAGAGCAGCATTTTTAAAAGAAAGCAGTTTGTTAGTGGACAAGTTTCTTGTCATGTTGTTGCAGCGTGAGCCCTAATTTATCATCAGGAACTTGGTGATTGCTCTGATCACTGTGCAGCCATATTGGATGGAGAAGGTTTTAGTCCATGTCATGGACTTTCTGCCTGCCAATCAATATTACAATTCAAATGATATTAGTTATCTTTGCTGTTATATCTTAATCAGGAAGAAAATGTCACTAGTTTCTCATTGCTTTCTTTCTGAAGAGGAATGAAAGCAATGCCACAGCTTCTGAAAGTAAATCATGCTGATGAGCTGTTTTGTTAAGATATAAATAATCTCAAGGTTTCAAGCTATCTCTCAAATCACCTGCTTTGTATACAGTAACAAACATAGCTAGATGCAGGGAGCTATAGTTATGGAGCTTTTCTTTTTTTGCATAGTCTCTACATGTGATGTAATCTCAACCAAGAGCTATCTCACTCAAAACCACATGTACCACCAGCCTCTTAGTTGTACTCGCTGAAACATCAGAGGGTTAAAAACATCTTTCAGACTCTTGTAACCGATCCATTTTGCCAATGCGGAAGTTTCTTAGAAAAAAAAATGTACCGCTGTTCTTGATTGAAAATGCCTGTTTTCACTTTCCCATTACAGTGAAAGTATTTTGTTTAAATCTGTGCTTTGTTGTGTGTGATGATTGGAGGTCTTCTTATTTTTGATACTGCTGTCACAGTTATAAATGTGCTGTTGAGCCATTTAGATGATTTGCGGTGAGTATTTGAAACGCACTATAGCCTCTGCATGCCTGGTCTCCAGCTCCAAAGTGGTGGGTGTCATTTGAAATGTCAATGAAGAACGAGTGAGTTATTTATCTTTTCTTTTTGTTTCACGCCCCTCCTGCAGTGAGAGGCCACCTCGCAAACCCGACCTGAGGTGAATAAAGAGTGCTGATGCTAAAAACGGAAGGATGCAGTGCAAGCCTTTCTTTTTTTATATCCGGGTTTATGTCAATCACATATGTATCAAATGGGTATATGTATGTCAGTCGACTGCTGTTAAAGCTTGACCTGCCAGCCTACTTACCATCTTTCAAGTCAAATCAAAATTAAGATCACGAATGCTCACTTGAGCCCTGTTAATGTTGTGGTGCTGAATTTGACATGGCATGAAGAAATGTACCATATATATATATATATATATATATATATATATATATATATATATATATATATATATATATATATATATATATATATAAATTAGATGTATATTTGTATATTGTAACCTTACTCAGTTTAAGCAGAGGTTGAAAAATGATTCAGCATTTCATTGTAATCTGTGAGCATTATAATTTGAGCATACACAGCTAAATACATTCAAAAATAAGAAGTCTTACATACAAGCTTAGATCCTTTCCAACCTCCAGTTTGTAGAGCTTTAATGGTAAAAATTGTATTTCATGCTGATTCAGATTCAACTCCTAAACTGCAAAAAATGTCTGCAAAAATGTCAGATGCTACAGCAACGCCTGAGTTGCACAGACATAATAGAGGCCGAGCCACCAGTTCATTAGGGGAAAATGTGCATTCTCTAATTGGTGGCAAGTGACTAGGTGGCGGCAAAGAACTTCGTTATGATTTCTTTAGTTGCTAGCAGATTGTTGCCTGTAGTTTGCATGAAAGATGCCAACTTTTATAACTTTTATAACCTTTGGGGTTATGTCAGAAAGGGTATCTGGTTTTAAAGTCTAACAAAACAAATATGCAGAGCTACCTTGTGCTAATCTTGTGTTGCACTGTCTAGCTTCACTGCTGCTCAGAGAGTAGTTGGCAAGTGTTTGCAGACAGGTTGGTGTCTTCCATTCAAACTACAGGCAACCATCTGCTAGTGAAGAAAGCAGTCATAAGCTGTGTCCCAAAACGTAGGCTTCATCCTCCGGAGGCCACATTTGAAGGCCAATTACGTGACAGCCAGGCGACGAAGGCTGTCCCAATTCGTCGACTGCTTCAAATACGGCTCACAAATGCGTCCTTCATTTCCCCAAATTTGAAGGATGGGTCGGGTGTGTCCTTCGTGGCCCACCATATCCCAGAATAAATAGCACGGCTCAGCCAATTTCAGTTTCCAACAATGGCGGCTGCTACTAAGTTTTAATATTACTCTTATTGCTCTTTCTGGGTCACAAAATAAACTTTTAACATATTTTCAGATGAGAAAGTAGCCATGTAAACTTCAAATATCTGCTTGGTTTATCAAGACATCGCATATTTGCAAAAGTGCTCCGACATTTTCGGAGACGTCTTTTACCCACCCGCTTGATAGCTAGCCGGGGGGTTCAATGGTCACTCGAGCCGGCAAGAGCAGCGGACTCCCAGCTTCATCGTTTTCAGACCCTGCTGTCTTTCACTACTCAGGTTAAACATGATATATAAGTCACTCGGATAACTTAAAAATGTAATTTTTTTTGAAGGCTAGACCGTCCCATTTCACAGCCTCGCACTTCCGGCCTTCTCGGTCTTCGAAGGACCCGGCCCAGGCTGGGTCCTCCGAAGGATGCGGCCTACGTTTTGTGACACAGCTATAGACTTTCAAAAATCTCAAGCAAACTCCATGCCAACTGGTCAGGGAGTGCATATTTTTCCCTAGCAACCAGTCATTACTGGCTTGCCTGGTAGGACAGTCCAAGTTACCTCTGTTGCTTTCTGGACTGTCCTAATGCAGTCACCTGCACGAACCTGGTTCTTCATGGAGGATAAACATCAAGGACTTCAAACAGTATTTGGTCAACTATTATTTGCCTATGTCATACTAGAGACCTAAAATCTTGACATTTTGAAGTTTAGTCTGTGGCAGGAAACTAGTCTTAATGACTCAGTTTTCCCAGACAGGGATTAAGCCTTGGAATAAAACTTTCCAGTGGAGACCTTCATTGAATTTTTGTTTTAGTCTAGGCTTAATTCACTATATACAAAATGTCGAGTTTTCATTGCAAAAACCCGGTGTATAGAAATTCTTTTAAAATACTTACCTGATGAATCTCTTTGTTGAGTCTAGGTTTTATTACAAATGTTCAGGACGATTATCATTACCGAGAAATTAAAGTTGGGCCTTCTTGCACTGCAAATAAAAATGTTCATCTTAACACGTTTGTTTTGTCATTGATGTGAATCAGTGTTTTAAAAGCATCCCAAACACAGACACAGTGAATGAAACTGTATTAGGCTGAACAGTCAATATTTCCTCAATGTCACTATGAATAACTTGTTAAGATGGACAGAGTTGATGCAACTGTTTGGCCTTATTGCTCATTTTTCCACAGAATCCCGAAGAGTCTATTCTTTGACTAAACCAGATTCGCATGCAGGAAAGAGACTGAAAGTCTGCATTTACATTGAGCTGAGTGTAAATGAATGAGCTGTTTTTCACTGCAGCTGATTTCCAAATGAACAGAATGATAGATATTTGCAAAATGGCTCTTTAAAGTCTTGCACATTTCAGTAAGTTTCTTTTGGAAGCATTTTAGCTTTGTGGAGAAAAAGACAAAATCTGATTTATGAATGGAGAGTTCCCATCTACAGTTCCTGTCTTATTTATATTTTCATGTAATAGTTTTAGCCATATTGTTTTTGTTACTTTTATTAAAACATCACTGTAAAGAAGTTGTGAAAAAACACCAGCTGACAATCAGACAGGTTTTTAAACAATTCAGCATTTTTGGTTCCAGGTATTTGCCCAACTAAATATCATTGAGTATTTGTGGCTGTAGCAAGAAAGGCTGGCATGCATGCTGCATGCACGAGGTGCGATCAAAAGATGCTTGGCCATATCAGTGCAGTCCCTACTCATTAACTGGACTACTGGCCAGATTTGCATCCCTGCAACTTCATCTTTCTTAAACTTTCTTAAAAATGCAAATAAAAGTGGAATGACTAAAGTTTTGACACAGTGGAAGAAATCAAGTGCTTATTGTAGAAGGAGTCATGCTGACCTTGATGGAAAGATTGTTCAAATTTGATTTTTATTGACTACCTTAGAACTTTCTGATCACACCTCACATACTTTGTGCAAGAAGACATAACGACATAACAGTGCAAGAAGCTGCTTCTCTGGATGGGCTCCAACTCCACCGCTTTGGACTGCTGCTAGTGACTGTAATCCATGTTCTGCTCTGCAGCTTTGGTGAGCTCAGTGTAGTGGCATCAGCTCCTTACCTTTTATGGATCACTGGGCAACACTCTGTAGTTGGTGGTATTGGACACTCTCTCTCCAGAACAGAACAACATTTACAGTCGCCAGCTGCAGTTCAAGGCACTTGTCGGTGTCTGAATGGTGCTGAGGACCCACCAGAGCATAAAGCTGACCAGCATGCAAGTGTTAAATGCTATATGAAAAAAAAAACAAAACTCAAAACACTTGGGCACTCATACCAGTATAATATGCATGTTTGAAAAAAAAAAAGATTTCTTTAATAATTAGCTTATTCTTAAAAAACACGCCTGTTGACTTCATGTAAAGATATGCACAGGATGAATATTTCTGACACACTAAAAGTGTATTTAGTATATTTATTCTCAGACTGTTGCTGTACTATTGTGCAGTTTCTAGTTTTATTCAGAAGCCACTAAGCCACAGTTTTTACTACCAAATAAAAATGTGTTTATATCCTGGCTTGGTCAAAACCTGCCTGATTGCCTGACTTTTTGTTATTATGTCCATTTGATGATATTCAAAGCTGCTTAATGGTTTACCAAAAAGCTAAAATGCTTCATAAAATATTTCTAAGTGCAACTGCATGATTTACTTTTATTAAAAAGAGGACCAAGTTAATTGACATGTCTCTGCCTCCTCTGTGCAGCTCCCAGTTGGCGATGAAGTATTTGGATCCAGCTTTTACTTCTCTGACCAACGCTCTCAGCGAGGACCTGCAGAACTCATCTAAATGGAGGCACAACAGCACTGCTTTTAACCAGCAGAGGTAGAACACACACACACACACGCACACACACACACACGCACGCACGCACGCACGCACGCACGCACGCACGCACGCACGCACGCACACACACACACACACACACACACACACACACACAAAAACTGTCTCCTGCATTGGTTTCTGATGGTCTTGAAAGCTTAACATGCTTTTAGCACTCCCAACAGCAAGTGTTAGTTGTGAAAAAGTTTGCCACATTTTTTGTGTTAGTGAAAGCTTTGGGTAGCTGTTCAGAAACACTTCACTGAATCCGAGCCCAGTATCACTTCTGTTTACTGATTGTGGACCATTTTGAAACTCTTCTGGATTAGTGCAAGATATTTTTTGCTAAATGAAAGCATGAACTTAAAATTCATCTAGTAGATTTTTCTTTGTGGATAGGGCTGCTACTGACCTATATTCTACAATACAAAAACATACAAGTCCAAGCTATGTGTAGTCATAGCGAGTCACATTAAAGTCCAGAAGTTTGATGCTAATCTAAAGAAGTTTCAAGTCTGAAGTTAGAGCATCACTTAAGTCAGTTAAGTGTTTAGTCACATTTTAAAATACATCCTCCTGCTCTAAAACTGAAGGCACTTTTCTCAACAGACTCCTAACTGTTTAGTAGAGTTCGCTATCAGCCAATGAAGATACCTTAAACCTCTTAAGATTCTTTTTAATGGCCACCAGGGGGCAATACCTGTGGTTGCAAGAAAGATTTTTGATAAGAAGTCTCCGGGAAATTGGCCTTCTGACCTGACCTCAGTAAATAGTTTCTTGATGAGTTTATGGGCTTAGTCAAATAATAGTCTCAGATTTAGGTTACTCAAGGCAATCCTACAATCATATCTGCCTCTTGCTTCTCACATTTGGCTTCAAAAGACAAAGATGGTCATTATGAAAACACTCAGATAGAGCCATCAAAGCAGGACTTTGGAACTGTGGTTGACATCATGTAGCTACATCCATTTTTTATACTATCTATGGTTACCACCAATTATCAGACCCAAATCTATTTGTGTCAAAATAGAGTTCAATGTGCCCACACAAATACAAGATACAGGGTAAGAACTCTGGTGCCAGCAAAGTGGAGGGAGGAGAGCCTTTCTTCCTGAAGATTGACTACATATCAGCTTCCAGTCCTACTGCCATCACCTTGTCTTGTTTATTTATTTTTGTCCACCTGGAACAACTCCCAGCGCACTTTCGCTGCACATGCTTTTGTAGTGTTCTACCTGACTGACTTTCTCTGTGTTGTCTGTTGTAGCTAAAAAAAATCTCAACAAGGCAATATATTTCCATCTTGCAGGAAGGAGATCTCTCAGTACATCGACATACCCCACAACTTCACGCTGACTCGAGACTCAGTCCGAATCGGTCAGCTGATGCATTATGACTACTCCAGCCACAAATACGTCTTCTCCATCAGCGACAACTTTCGCTCTCTCCTCCCGGAGGTCTCACCAATCCTCAACAAGCACTATAACGTATGTGCTGTGATTGGCAACAGCGGCATCCTCACTGGCTCACGCTGTGGTCCCCAGATTGAGAAATACGACTTTGTCTTCCGCTGCAATTTTGCGCCGACTGAGATCTTTAAAAAAGATGTTGGGCGTCGCACCAACATGACGACCTTTAACCCCAGTATCCTGGAGAAATACTATAACAACTTACTAACTGTGCAGGACAGAAATAACTTCTTCCTTAGCCTGAAGAAGCTAGATGGCGCCATTCTGTGGATCCCGGCGTTTTTCTTCCACACGTCGGCCACAGTGACGAGAACGTTGGTGGACTTTTTTGTGGAGCATAAAGGTCAGCTCAAGGTCCAGCTCGCCTGGCCTGGAAACATCATGAAATATGTCAACAAGTAAGAAAAAGCAGACTATTAAAGTACATTCAGGTGTTAAATCATTAATATCTAGTACGTCATCAGTCCACATCTCCACATGTGATCACTATGTCATTAGTAGCAGTAAAACATTTTATAACTCTACTCATTAAAAATAAAGATGTATACTTAATATAAATTTGGCTGATCTCCTCTTCAGTGTCTTCTCCATGTGCACCTCTGGACCTCTTCCAGATGAGGAATTTGCACTTATATTTGTATGTCTGTGACGTACACTGTATTGTCTTCATTGTGTTATAAAAACAAAAACTCTACAACTTTAGTTTCACATTAATGAAGACTTCAAAAAGCCAAGCCGGAAGAGGAACAGAGCTGCATAAGGAGGCAACCCTGATGGCCAAGACTGGCCAAATTAGGACTGGCCATCATTTCTGTGTGGAGTATCCTGAAGGGAATAAATGGTTAAGAAGATAGGGGGATGGTTTTAAGTCAGGAGTCTGTGTGGACAGATTTGTTTTTGAATATAACCCCCCAGTGGCCGTTAGATGAACTGCAGTTTTGGCCTTTTATTTTCTGAGGTTGTAGCTGAGTTTTTACAAATTTTGTTCTAGGGTACATATTTGTGTTCACAGTAATGAGGAAACATGTTCTTCAGTCCAACAACGCAATTTATTGATGACTTTAATAGTTTTTGGACAACAGTAGGGTTGTTGGCTGATAGATTAATTTCTGGATTTTGGTCTTTAATTGATTTGTTTGACAAGGAAATCTCCATCATCAATGTGAACATTAGGTTTACTAGATAACTTTTTTCTAAATATGTCTTGTCATTGTCATTGGTAATTATTTACCTTTTACCTATGATGATACTCACATTTCATAAGGTTGTCAAAGTGACCTGTTGAAGTTCAAACTGAGCACCAGAATGTGGAAGAAAGGTGATTTATCTGATGCTGAACGTGGCATGGCTGTTGGTACCAGACGGGCTCTGAGATTTTGGAAACTGCTGATTTGTGATTTTTTTTCCAAACAACCATCTCTAGGGTTTCACATTATCGATAATGTTAGTAGATCAATATAGACTAAAATCTAAAGGAATGGTTCCAGTATGTTTTTGAATCTATGCCATGAAGGATTAAGGCAGTTCTGAAGGTAAAATGGGGTCCAACCCACTACTTGAATTAATCTCTGAGTTTATTGCATAGCTCATTAAGATTAACAGCTGATCAAATTCGGTGCTTTCTGCTTGTTAAAAATGGACATGCTCACAACTGGATTTCATTTCCGCCCGGTTAGCTTGGTCGTCCCTGTCTCTTAGCATTTAAAGGCTGTAGCTATTTGTGCTTTCTCTCTGTCTGTGTTTTTAAATGTCCCTCATCCACCTCAATCCTGTTTAAAGAAACTAGTAGAAACTGGCTGACACGTGGCTGTTTTGTATTGAGCTGTATTCTATATGTCAAAAGAGGAGATTTAGGCTCCAAAGCCGGATTATAAGGAAACAGCTATTTAGTGAAAGGTATGGCACACAGCTGTAACAGTGTGTGTGGAGAGAGGGGGATTTAAGTTGGGTTCTTAGTGTTGTAGTGGCAGAATAGGGCTGCCCGTACAGTAGTCTAATCTTTACCAATCCCATTAAGTCTACCTGCTCTGGAAGAATTACCACTTTTAAGCAGCTCAGACGGCTTTCAGCGCTGTAAGGACTCTTGAAGCCGCTTTTGTTTAGGCCAGTTTGGAGAGTTTCCCCCTTTGTGATTCTTCAGAGCAAAACTGCCACATTAAAGCTTCAGCAGATTATGTCCTATCAATAGAGTCCTATTTTCAGAATTTTTGGGAATGATTTCTAGAAAAAAGCAGACAAAAGTGGACAGGATGATATTCCTTTATCTCCGTTTACCAAAATTCAGGTTTTTGCCTAAACTGTTCAAAACAAGGGGGAAATAACTAGGAACAAAAGCAGGAAGTCGATGCTAAAAAGGATCAAAACGCAGCAAAAACATTGCAAAAAAAGTACAAGGAACATGTCACAGATAAACTCAGTGGTTTGTTGCAAATCCTTGATTCTAATATTCTTTAATTCTAATAATCGCTTTGCATTTATTTGCCACTTAGTTATTAGGTCATAGCATTTTTCAAGTGTTTAATAGTAAAAGTGATATAATTCACTTTAAGAGTGAATAAATAAAGTTGTGAGTGCCTGAATTATTAATTTAATCTGTGACCAGTCTCTTGTCATTCATACTCCACAGCTACTGGAAAACCAAGCAGCTGTCGCCGAAGCGCCTGAGCACAGGCATTCTGATGTACACGCTGGCTTCTTCCATGTGTGACCAGATCCACCTGTACGGTTTCTGGCCCTTTGGCTGGGACCCGAACACAGGCAAAGAGCTCCCCTACCACTACTACGACAAGAAGGGCACCAAATTCACCACCAAGTGGCAGGAGTCCCACCAGCTGCCAGCCGAGTTTAAACTCCTCTACAAGATGCACACAGAAGGACTGCTGAAGCTCTCCCTCTCCCACTGTGCTTAGGGATAAAACTGTGGCAGGTACTGTGCTCCTTCAGGCTCCGATCCAGCACTTCCACTGGCCGGAATTACAGAAAGGGTGAGACAAGCAAAGTTGGGACTCCTGCCGTTTAGTCAAAGGCAACAGCTTGACTGTAAGGCTGAGTTGGTGCACTGGAGATCAGTCTGAGATACCAGAGCAAAGGCTCGTAATCGTGTGCTCAAGATGAACTGTGACAGCTCAATAAACAAGCAGTGTGTTAATTTTCTACTGCTCATAAATCTACAGCTGAACAGCACTGCGTTTAGTTTCATTTTACCACAAAAAGGTGGACTGTCATACAAAAGCTGGTCTTCAGACGAGTGTCACAGTGCTGAATCATTTAATAGCTTTTTAATTGCAGTCGTGGTCTTTCACAGAACTAATGCAGACACATGCAACATAAAACTGCTCCATCCAGAAATGACAGCATGTAGGCCAATCAGATTCAAGCACATAGATCCAGGCATGGCAAAAAACATGATTTTGTGGCTGTTTTCAAAAATTGCAAAGTGCTGTCTTACGTTCGTTATATATTATAATAAACAGCCGTGTGGCGCTGGGGTTTGGTAAACCCTCAAACTCAGAGCTCTGACATTTTGGGTTTTTTTTTCTTTGGTTTCTTTGCTGTTTTTGGTCTGAAAACAACAATGCTGGGATCATCCGCATGTCAGGGACCACACTGACAAAGTCTGGAGGTTGGATGTATGCAGGGTCCTGACAATATCCTAGATTTTATTTTTGCACATTAGAGTCATATTAAGAAAAGAAGATGAAGCTTGATGAAGATGATGATGAGATCAGAATACACAGTATTTTGCCTTTGACCAAGATACATTATCAGTCTACATATCTTTCTGTTTTCAAAACTTCTACAGTGCCACATACAAAGGAGAACAAAAGGAGGGACCAGGTTTGGCTTTCTTTGCTCCACCTGACAGCTCCAACATCATTATCAGTCTTTCCTTTTGCCATGTCTGCTGTTGTGCTATATATATATATATATAAGAACGCTCAGTCTCTATATTTAGCACAGTGAAAGGATATAGTAGATCCTACAGTAGTGCAATCGGTGCCTGGAGAAGTCTCTTTTTTGTTTATTTAAGCAGCAGGCATGATATAGTATAAACGCCCTGTGCTACAAGCACTAAAGTATGAAAAAACTTATTGCATTTGCACTTCACTCTCCAAAAACGAAGTAGTATTTTACATATATTCACTTAACTCTATCTGAGTTTGTGTCCATCTGATGAATACAAATCAATTTTTCTTTCTCCTTTTAGTCTCATTAGCTCATTCCTTATTCCCGTTTCTACCCTGCTGTTTTTATTTGTTTGTTGCGTATGAGTGGTTTGATAACCTTTGATTTCTAAAGTGAACCTACTGCTAATGTTAGAGCTATAAACAGAGTAAACCGTGGAGTTAACGTCACTTTAAAAGATCTACTTTTAAAACAAATAACTATACGTTTCATAGGGATAGTAGGGCTGAGTGATTCTTTTGAATATCATTTAGGAAAAACAAGATAATTGGATTAAGTGTTGGAGATGGAGCCAAGACGATGAAAAGAGCTACTTTGGTCAATACAATTTCTGTAGAAGTAAATTATGACAAGGTTTAGGAAAGGCTAGAAGCTCTGAAAGGCAGGTTGGTACAAAGCAGAGTTTGCTTTGCAGTCAAAAGCAATTCAATTCTCTACAACTATTTAAAATATTTAAAATTATTTATTTATTTATTAAATTAAATAAATGCATGATTCTTGAATCAATAATCACATTAAATAATCACAATTACAAACAATCCCAAATCCCAGCTGATCTGTAAAGTTCAATCACAGACTGTATTTAAATGATGGAAATTGTGACGTCACAGTTGATTAGTGCGGCAAGGAAGCTAATTTACCATATTAACTTATTTTTAAAAAAAAACAACATAAATTCAGTATAACCTGAAACTACCAACTGAGCCAAGTCATAAGAAAAGTGTTCACTTCACATGGCAAGAAAGCCGAACTGCTGAAGTTGCCCCCGACTGGCTTTTAGAAATAATGTAGATTTAAGGTACTTCTGTATGGACCCAGAAGCTACATCCAGCTTTTTTAAATGCAGTTTAAGAGTCCAGCCCAGCTAGAAAGAAATAAAAAGACATTAATTTAAGGTGACTAATAAAAAGTTAATTTAAGATGCATCAGCAAAGCTTCTTCTTCTGCTTTTACATGGAAAATAGTTCCTATTATATTTTATTCAAGTCCTCTTTGATAGAAGTTGTGGCATTGTAGTGTAGTGCCTCCTGGATGACCACACGGGGCCTCGCCTTCTCCCTTTGATGATGAAATTTACATCACTTAAACCTTTTAGCTGCTTGTCTTTAGCATCGTGTTTTGGGCCGCGTACAATTCACCACTTTATGCCAGCAACAACGAGACTTTTTACAGACAATCAGATTGAGCCACGAAGACATTCAAGAGGGAATTAGCATTGTCAGCGCCATCGACACAATGTTAAAATTCTTGTTTGCTGTTTTGTAAAATGGGCTGTGTGGTGTTTAGATTTACCTTGTTACTCAGTAAAACAGTGAACCTGCCACAAGTGAATGGAAAGAGTTTAAAAATATAGTATAAGAATAAGATGTGTTTATATTTGTGTTTATTTATTAGTTTTTTTAAATCATGTCTAAATTTTATTTTGTGTAAAGGGACAACACTGGTAAATGTACAGGTTGTTCATTTTAGCAGGAAGACATGTGTTCCCTCTTCCATACTGTTTTTTTTTTTTTAAAGAATGACGATGATGCAAGTCCAGATATTTGACTGACCACTGGTGGGTCCATTGAGACGCTGTTATTTTGAACCTTTACTGTTAGAAAATACTAGTAAGACAATGGAGAGAGCCTGAAGTGGTTTTAACCTCAACTTATGATCAAGAATCGGTAGATTAAAGGTCGTCACTGGCACGAGACTCTGTTGCTTATCTGTTGATGTAATTGTGGAGAGTTGAGACTTTAACATTGAAATAAGATAAAGTTATTATAAAGGGGTTTTTTGTGCTTACACAACAAAGTCTTTGTTTGTCGGCTTGTTCATTGGTTTTATAAAGTATAACAAGCACAAAGATAAGACAATTAAAATATCAATTTTCTTACTGTCATTAATCCCTGTTTGTAGTTGTTACAGAAATGTGCACATTTTTCACAATATATCCCAGGAGGCACTTTTCATTTCATGGGAAAAATCCACCATCGATGTAAAAGTTTTGGCACTCTTGGCTTTCCATACATATTTGCATCCACATACTCAGGTTTTTGTGAACAGGTACAGTTGGACAAACTTCTTTTATCATTACTTCCTTGAGTGTTTTGTGGTATGTTAATCTTTTTCTCTTTTTTTGCTGTTGCTTCTGTGTATGTGTGTTTACAAATCCATCAAATACTTTTTCATTTGTAGTTAATTAGAGATGATTTAAGACACCACATGCTACATGAGAGAAATTCCATCATAAGCATGTTTTGTTTTTAGGCACATCAAATATGAATTATAATTTTTTTTACATGCTTTTTATCTCCAAGGGAGAGTTGTGTCTTTGTGGATTTTTAATTTTTAACATTTTTTGAGTTTTGCAAAAATGAGGGAAACTGGGACTAATTTTGTAATCTGCAGCTCAATTTTTGCTGGATTTCACTTATTTTTCCTTTTAGTGTCCTAAAATTTTATTCCAGAAAGATTAAATATGATGTTTTAGGGAATTAAAGACATAGAGATTGTCGTTGTGAAGGTTATGCTATTTTCTGACTTGAGCTGAGTTTTACAAGATGTTCTCATGTTTTATTTTTGTCTTTTTTCTTCTTTCTTTTGTCATCTTTTATTTTTGTAGTGTAAAATAATAGTAAAATATCAGGTAACAGCTTTTACAGAATGTATTTTTTCGCATTGTGAATGAAACTGATGCCGGCTCCATTCACGTCCATGTCTTCAGAGACCAATGGAGGAAGATTCGTGCAGGAATAACATAAACTAGAACCACTTTTAGATATCATAAACAATATGCTGTAGATTTAATAATAAGTTTAAGTCATCCAGTACTTGAAAGAAACTATATCTACTCTGTATTTATTTCATTATTTAGTCATTAAATGAATTAAATGATCAGTTTGACAATGTGAGTGGTGTCTTCTTCTCCTTTGTTTGTTAAAAAGATGAAAACATCTTTTTCCTTCCTTAGTCAGCACAAACTGAAATAATTCTAAAGCTGGAAGCTGCTGACTGTGGTGGGAAAAATAATCTCGGTTCAGAAAATGCTCAACGTTATCAGCAGTAAACACTGATTTGTCCACGTCGCACAGAGTAAAACCCGCTCAGTGACCTTTAATCTACACGAGGGAGGACACGGAGGTCCGTGTGCCATCACACGTCGACACGTCTAACGCTGATGTGACTGCACATCATTGCCTTCCAGTGAAATTTTTATAACTGTTATGCAAAACAGGGCAACAAATGGCGATGCAGTGGATAGCTTTGTTGCCTCCCAGCAGGAATATCCTGGGCCTGGGACTTTGGAAGTTCTTCATTCGCCAGACCGGCGACGTGTCCAGGGTCCATCGTTTGCCTTATGACAGCTTTGATAGGCTTCAGTCTCACTACTACTTTGAATCAGATGAGTGGAAGAAAGTGAATGAGTGGATGGATACAAAACCCTGCACCAACTTACCTCTGCTTAAACAGCAAAACTGCAACTCATTCCAGCAGCCCGTGTCTCTGATCCAGAGTTTTTACAATTTTATCATTTTGTTTTTGAAATTGTTTTTTTTTGTTGTTGTCGCTGTGTATCTACACAGAGTTTATGTGTCACATGCTTTATGTTTAACATAGAAGCCAAATAGAAATATCTGATATAATGAATATTTGAATATTTGAATATTAATGATAAAAAAGCGTATTCAGTCACTCATTGAGACATTGAGAAAGTCCACTTCACTCGGCCACTGTGAGTGCACTACCTGTCAAAGTGCAATCAAATCACTGATTAAAGCTTAATTAGACAATACTCTTTGTTTCTGGACTGTTTTCAAAGTGCACTGCGATGGTGACTGAACTGTGCACAAATCCTCGCCTTGTTCATGGGTACCTGAATAGTTTTGAAGCCTGCCGGTATCTCATACATCAGCTCAGGTCTGGAATAACTAAAAAGCCTCCTTTGACAGTCTGTCCCACAAAATGCATAAACAGTACAAGAAAACAAAAGATGCAAAAGCCTCATATTTAAGTGAATGTATGTATATATTTGAGGCTGTATGTTTACTTGTGACCCTGTGTGGATTACAGAAAAACCCAAATAAATTCCAAATTGTGCATCCAAATCTTGTTTTTTAAAATCATTGAAGATGTATGCTGTGCAATCATTTCACTCAGGCAAAAGACATGAGATTCATACTCAAAATGAGGTTAGGTGTACTTAAAGGATGGATCAAATTATAACATAGGGATTACCATAAAACATGACAAACATAAACATAAACACAATTACAATTACTGCGGGTTATAATGGCATGTTTATAAAAAATAGTAAAAAAACCCAAAACAACAACAACCTTGTTAAAACTATGGAAAACTATGAAACTATTTAGGCCAAACCGTTTGGTACTAGGCTGTAAATACGCTTTTAGATGATGTAAATTTGGACATTTTAATCTGGAGGTGTGTGGAGATTCACTCACTTTTTGATCACTGGATTTTCGGCTCTGGGGTTTCCTCTCGAAGAAGCCTGAGAAAAGTAAGTGCAGGCCCCACAAAGAAACTCAACTTTCAGCACAACTGCTTAATCACTGAATTCAGTCTGGCATGGACCATAAGGATAATGTAAAAGTGACAATGATTCAACCTGTTCGGACCAAGTAAAGTCATGACATCAGTGATTTGCAGCACACTTCTGAGTCCAGAGTTTTCTAAACTGAAGCCTTGTTCTCTCTTCCTTCAGCATAAAATTTCCAACTGAATTCTTAAAAAATTGTTTCAGATCCAGATGTTTGGGACCCTACTCTCTTTCAACCATCATCACATAATTCCTTTATTTGTGTGTAACATGTGAGTTACAAAGCCCAACCTGAAGTCAGGCACACAGTTTCTTGTGAAGGCTAAACAGGCCTCTTTCATCTACTAAACAGAAGGGAAGTAGTTTAATTCCTGCAATCCCCATTTTGAAGTGTCCTTGAGCAACATCCTAAACCCTAAATTGGCTTGATCATTGATTGGTGTGTTTAAAAGTGTTTAAAGACATTGAAAAATAAAGTGCTGTGTGAATGAATCAGTCTCCAAAAGCAAGAGTCCACAGTAGGAGCAGAGAACTGCAGTACAGCGTATCCCTCTGTCCCTAGAAAGTCCAAGTGAAATGTCTTCTTCCAACATATCCTGTACTTCACGAGTGTCCTCATTTATAAAGATATACATTTGATGAAAGTCACTTAAAATATCATCACATTTGCAGGATCTGATGTTTTCAAAGTGGTGTCATTTTATTTGTCTAAAATGCACACAGCAGTTCAAAGGCAAACACACAATGCAAACAGAAGTGATACGAGGCTGCGACGCCCTGCAGGCCGATACTCTGTGAACAGCAGAGGTCAAAGGTTGTCGAGAGTCTTCAGAACGACTGCAAAGCTGCTGAGAGGACGCTCAGAAAACAGCTGGATTTTAAAAGCTCTGCTTCAGGAAAGATTTCTGCACATTTACAGATATGCCACAAATACTTGTGAAGATGTTTAGGACACATTTTCATCTGAGATGAATCAGGATTCAGGAAACTAATAAAACTGTGATTAATTGCACTAGAGCTTTTTCGAATATCTGCCATAGACAAAGTTTAGGTATGATGAACAATAACAGGTCCAATAAGAAAATGTATTTCTGTATGAAACAAAAACAGTCCACTCACTCAAATAGACAAAAAAATAAATACATTTTGATTCCACAAAATAAGGCAGAAAATAGATGTTAAGTAATACTTAATTAACCACTACTTTAGCAGTTATTAATTGTTGTTATTATATTGTAACTAAATCAGAATTAGGTGGAAGTGAATGTATTTAATGTTGTGGTTGATCAATGTTTGGTCTTTATTTATAACACTAACCCACTTATTGTTTTCTTTATTTTTGTAATGTTTTAAAAAACATTAAGTTATTTTATTCATTTTGTTATGTCGGTATTCATTCATTAACTCAGTTAGCTATTTGCATATCTATTGATTTTTGGTTTATCTAATTTTGTATTTGTTTGTTGAGTATCTATTTATATAAACTCTCTGCAGGAATCAATAAAGGTTTTTCCCCTAAGACCTTTTTCTTTTTAAGTTGTCTTTGACTGTTGACGCATCTTCAGAAGCAGGTCAGTAAAGTTGGATCATCTAAAATATCTGTGCTCCCAGATGACTTTTAAAGCTCGAGAGTAGATGTGAAAAAAAAAGATAAGATTTCATACCAAATTAAACATTAATCACACAAACAGTTGTTTTTTTTTTAATTTTATTTAAAGCACCATTTGATTATTTTATGACTAAATTAATAATCCCTTTTTCACACTGATTAACGATCTACACAATGGTGTGTTAAATCCAGCTGTTGACTTCTGCAGAATTTCTTTTGTTAAGCTTTGCTCACACGGGGCAGGGAGGACTGAAAGTGTCAGAGGTCAGAGGTCAGCCACCACCGGCGCACGCCATCTGACCCGTCTCATTTACATACAAACTGACCTACTTTCAGATGGCGCTAGTTTTTGTCTTTAAAACTCCTGAAAGATTTGAAGGAAATAAAATTATTTTAGAATCAAAACTTTTTTTTTAATAAACTGAAATTTATTGGAATTTGCTTTATTTGAATGTCTGCATTTTCATGCAGTTTGGAAAAAGAATAAAAGAAAATTTGAAGGCATATTTAATAAACACTAGTTGCTGACGTTTGATGGCTTCAGAGGCCCAAATTTAAATTTTCATAATAAAACGAAGAAGCAACTGAGAAACATGAACTCATATTTTTACATACTGTAAAATAAAAAGTTGATCTCAGTTTCAGTAATTAAAGCACTTTGTGTATATTATAAGTTGGATTTTCATGCTGGTGTATTTTAATGTTCTATTACCACAGAGTAGGGCTGTTTTAATGTCCTCCCTCTATTCTTTTAATCTCTCACTGAGTCCGATTCAGGACGTCTTCATCAGGATAAATTTGGCACCAATCACCTTCCTTCCTAAAGAAGTAAAAGTGGCTAACCAGGTCTGTCTCATTGAAGTAAAGTGAGATATATAGATCTTTTTATTTGCCCAACCAAAATAAACCCATAAAATTCAAAGTGACAGATAAAAAATGACATCATGTGTAGAAGAACGAAAGTCAATATCGCGCAGATGAGAAAAATAAGAATAAAAAGCCAAAGATATATATATATATATATATATATATATATATATATATATATATATATATATATATATATATATATATATATATATATATATATATCTTGTAAATATTAGTCTTGAAATCCTCAGATGATTTTTTTTTCAGCTGTCGTCTCCAATTCAAACGTGTCGATTCGTGAAATATTAAACTCGACTCTTCTTTCCCTTATTTCTCCTCTCTTTGATCAGTGTTGTGAATACTCAGAGATGCTCAACCGTCTTCTTGACGAGTGGAAATCAATAAATCAAATGCTATGATTAAAAGAGCAACATGCCAGAGGACATTAAATAATCATGCAGGAAGGAGAGGAGGAGGAGGAGGAAGAGCCCTCCCCCTATTTCAGTCCTGTAGTTAATGGGCGAGTCTCTAACTAAACCTGATACTCTGCAGAAATCAGCTTCAGATGCTCAGATTTTGGAAAATGAGCCATTTTATTGACAAAAAAGATAAGAAGGGGGAAAATCTTTGTGAATTATTTAAAATTATTTTTGGCATTTAAAATGTGTGTGTGTGTGCCCTCTGTCTTTATAATGGTGTTACAGCTGGTTTATAAGGCAGGTTATTGCTTGGAAGTCCAATTTTTTACTTACTTTTGTAATGTTGCACTTCTTAGTTAGCATGTATTTTGTGTAAAATTATGTGTTTATGTCTATTTATTTTGGTGTCCTGTGTGTCATGTAAATACACGTGACCCTCCCACAATGGCCAGTTCA